AAAACACCAACAGGCTGCTTCTGGGGCAGGAGGCTGTGGAAAGAGGCTGTCAAAGCTGATGTATGCCTACCTTGACAGTCCTGAATGGCAGGTGTTATACCAGGATTTACTGGCCATGAGGCGCCCCCATGAACGTGGATGGATGTGGTACTGCCAGGCCCAAATGGACTGTGCTGGCGGGCCAAATGGACCAAGCTGGTTAGCTGCACAGGAGCTGCCATGCCATCGTGTCTCTGTTGGGGTCCCATTCTATCCTCAGTGTCCTCTTGTCTCCCGAGACCTCGGCCTCACTTGCACAAAGAAACACTCGTGGGCTGCAGCTCAATCCAGCTGCCCCAGAATTGGGGACTTCGATAGCTTTCCCTAGCAGAAAGTGAAATAAAGGGAACATGTTGGTGTCCATTTTAACTTACATAATAATTCTGGAAAGAATTCTGGGAAACTGTTGGTTATATGTTTACTAAATATTAAATTGGCTACCTGCAAAATTGCCGTCAGCTGATGTCAAAGGAGGACAACTTTTAGACGGTACCAAACCAAAACCAAAACCAAAACCCAAGTCTCATACACCGAAATTTCTCCACTTGTTGCTTGGAAATTTTTACCTCCAGGGCTGCCTTTGTCATTTAATTTAAATCAAACTGTTGGTGGAAAGAGTTGTGCGAAAGGCACAGTAAGTATGGTACAAGTTCACTTGATCATGATGGTTTGGAATCCTTTCAGGACCTTCCCCATATTTCCTATCTAGAGAAAATGTTTGGTATTTGGTTACAAGCCATCATATTGAGAAAAATAAAGCATAAAATACCAGTGCACATTACCTTGGCTTATTTTTCTGCTTGTATAATAATAAGTTTAAGGAAAAAAATATCACAATGATATTTTAAATGAACAGAGTGTACTGGGTTGATAGTTATTTGGTTTTATCATTTCTCTAGCCCAATGTAGAAGAACACACATTGGATCCTGAGTTAGTATGCTTAACCCTCCATCACTTGGATCTACAGTTTCAGAGAGGTCCTTCTCATTCTGTGAATTAACAGTTGATGCACAAGCAGAAAAAGGTTAGAGATTTGCCCATCCCAGAACAACACAAGCAACCAAGGGGGACTTTACACCCTCATCATCAATAGGTTTGCCGTCACCTTAACTTTTTTGCTGCAGGTTAAAGTCAGTTCCTTGCTTACTCATGCTCAGATTTCCTAGTCCTTTGTGGTCACTGTTAACGTTCCTTATAAGACTGGTTAATCTGGGATCAAAGATGAGAAAGAAATATAACCAGATAAAAAATCTCATAGGTACCCTCCCAGGTGGCGCAGTAGGTTAGAGCACAGCACTAAGAAGTTAAGCCAATTCAGCATGAGTTCGATTCCTGCCTTGGAGTTGATCCACATGCCGCAGACCTCTCCTGACCCGCCCACTGCTCCCCTCAGAAGTGTACTTCATCAGTCTGCTCCCTACTCTGTCTCTGGTGAATCCTCTCACCGCCTGTGCACCTCTAGCCTGTACCCTAATTCTGTATGCATAAATAAATAAATCTTAAAAAAAACTTTAAAAATCTCATAGGGATTGTGCCAGGACAAACAGTTCGTTTTGGTCTTGGAAGGAATTGAAGTTTCTCCAAATGAGTGTTCTATTTTGTGCTATGTATTGAGTAATGAGTGCTATGAGTTGAGAAGATTCTATCATTATGGAGTCCATTTTCTTTATTCTTATGTGTATTGGCTTACTGCTATGGAGCTGAGGTCCTCAACTGACATCTTTACAAGGTATTGTCAATTTTGGGTAATGAAGTAAAGGGGCTGGCTGTCCTTCTCCTCGCCACTTATGATATTGACATTCAAAGACCTTTTATTATTTCTTCCTTAAATTCCTCTGAAAGATCAGAAGGTCTTTCCCAGTTTCTTTAGGTAGCAAGTGGCAGAGCAGAGATTCGAAACCAGCACTGTCAGAATCCAAAATTTATAGCAAGACCAATTGGTGTCCATAAGGAATGAAGGTGCATGTAATGTTTTCTAATTTGAATGAAATACTGGCCAACACTTAAAAATTAGAACATTACATTAAAAAGTCTGGCATCCAGCAGCCTCTTTTAACTGAGTGGACTGGGTACAGTGGGCTTGTATTTCTACATGGAGCAGTCAGCAGGCCCTAAGGAGTAGCTGCTTCCCTTAGTGGAGGCAGGTACTCTCAGATGGACAAAATAAATCATATGCCTAAATTTCTCCACTTGCTGCTTGGAAATTTTCACTGCATTACATCAGGTAAATAATTTACCACTTCACCTGGGTTACCTGTTCGATACACCTATATGTGCTTGATCTTACAATTCTTATTCCATTTCTAGAGATACTCTGTCTCAGGTTCCTGATGTCACCATTTGCTGTGTCATCTTGGGCAAATTACTGAAATTCTCAATGCTTCAGTTTTCTTATCTCTAAGATGTGTGAAGAATAGTGCCTTGTTCTTGAGATTGTTTTGAATGTTAAATGTGGTAACCCTCATGAAGTGCTTAGGGAGGAATCAGGCATTTATAAGATTTCTAGAATGGTTAGGTGTTGTTTTTAACCACGATTCCAGTTAACTGCTCTCTAATTAGAAAGTGGTGTTCAGTCAAGCTGGAACAAGAAATCTTTTCCAGGTTTCAGTCTGAACTGTGAAGTAGGCCACCAGCACCATTGACTATGGAAACACCAATGTGTTTAACAGGCAATGTGTGGTTTTGGCATGGGAATGATATGATTCAAGTTTATAGTAATGGGACCTTAGGGTAATTATTTAATTTCTTTCTGACTCATTTTCTTCATTCATAAAATGGACATGATACCTATGTCATAAGGTCATGGTGAGAAATGAGTGAGTTAATACATATCAGATACTTCAGAACAGTGCTCAGCGCATATACACTCAGGGAATATTACCCACTATTGAAAAAGATAGACCAGACCATGTCATTTGTTAAGTGCGTATTTGCTTCTGGGGGAGATGAGAAGAGAATATTTAAGGTTGGATTGTCATAGAAAATTGGGGAATGCTAACACTATTTTCATTTCACTCTCCTTTTCCTTGCAACCCAGAATCTATTCCCTCTACCCTCCTAAAATCATACTTTTGAAGATTAGTCACCAAATCACATATAGTGGCCTCTGCCTCATTGTCTAGAGGGGGCAAGAATTTTAGAGGTTAGGCTAGCAAAAGGGGACACTCAGAGCCCTCCCTGGGGGTGCAGCAGGTTAAAGCACAGCACAAAGAAGCTTAAGCCACTTCTGCATGAGTTCGATCCCTGCCTGCCCTGGAGGAGATCCACATGGTGAGGCAGACCTCTCCTAACCCGCCCGCTGCTCCCCTCAGCAGTGTACTTTATTGATCTGCCTGTTCTGCACCCCACTCTGTCTCTGGTGAATCCTCTCACCCTCCGCATCTCTGGCCTGTACCCCAGTTCTGTACAAATAAATCTTAAAAAAAAGGGGGACACTCAGAGCAGTCCATGACTTGCCTGCAGCTAGTTTGTCACAAGCCAAGAGTTATCAACTTTATTAATTGTACATTTACCAAATTACAGTGGATTTACATTCATTTTAATGAGTTGGGGTGGGGAATGGCAGAGGACATAGCATCCAAGATGTTACTGGTATAAGAATTCTCTCTTCTTTCAGGCCCTCCCTGGTACTGCAATGGGCTAAAGCACAGCACTATGAAGCTATCTGAAGCCACTGCAGCATGAGTTCGATTCCCAGCTGGTCAGGGAGGTGACCCACGTGGCAGGGCAGAAATCCCGACCCTCCCACTGCTCCCCTCAGCAGTGTATTTCAGTCAATCTACCTGTTCTACTCCCCACTCTGTCTCTGGTGAATTTTCTCACCTCCCACACCGTCTGGCATATACCCCAGTTCCATATGCATAAATAAGTAAATCTTAAAAAAAAAAAGAAATTTCTCCTCTTACACCTTGCTCTTTTTGCTTACAAACCTTGCTTAACAAGGTGCTGGTCCAGTTGCTATTTGAAGAGGGCTGTGGTGTGCTCCCCAGTGGCTTGAGACCCTGTGCCTCTCCATGCCTTGAAGACCTTGTTTCCTGATGGGTTATGTTTTCCCTTCCTACAACTTGCCTCTCTGAGCCATGTTCCGATTTCCCTGCTGGCTCGTTTGTTTCTTTGGGCTGCCTGCCGTGTTTGGTGGTTTTTGTGGGGGCTCTGACAGATGCCAGGAGGTGAAGGAAGACATCTGAATGGGCTTTGTCATTGGACAAGTTGACTCAGTGATGGATGAGCCTTCTCCCCTGGGAATTTTGGGGCAGGAGAAGTCCAACTGATAAGTTTTTCCAGGATTGAGTAACCCAGGAACAGTGCCAACAGCATCTTACCTCTTTTGTGGCACTGTGTATTCAATCTGAAGGAAATTCTCAGCTGCAGCTCTACATCGTGCTAGAAATTCAGCTAGATCCTTGACAAACTTAACTATGTGCACTAGGAATTCTTTTAGAAACAATATTTGAGGAGAGGGGTGAGAGGAAGGAAGAGAGGGTCTTAAAAAAAAATCCTTCCAAAATATTTTCTTTCTTCCAAGTATTGAAAAGGCACAATATAACCCTTTCTTCTTCCAAATGATCTCATTGCTATTTATTGATGGGAAATACTAAATGTTTATTTATTTTTTTTTAAAGGAGCTTCTTCGATCCTGATGATTCATGTCCATACCGTTTTCCTCCCAACGCCAGAGATTCTGAAACAAAGCTTCAGGCCAGTGATACTCCGGTGTTAAAACAATTCCTGCCCTGAAGGAAGGTATGCAACGCTCTCTTGTCCCTTTCACAGACGTCCTTGAGCCCTCCAGACGGATGTGAGCGAGTTTTTTAGTCCCCATGCAAAACAACCATCTAAACATAACAGATGACATCAGCGTGGGCTTTTCAATTCCTGGATGGCAGCAGCGTGTTAATCCAGCCTTCATCCTGGATTTCATAAACTAAAACAAGAGAGCCTGGCAGGAGCACAGCGCTGCTGCTGGGTTGAGGAAATTGATGACGGGGAAGCATGCGGGCAACCCAGTGTATAAAACACATAAACGTGTAGGCAGAGGCTCAGCTACCACTTTGGACGGCTGCTTCCCACCAGCAAAGACCACGCCGAGCCTAAGCCCCTGGGAAACATGAGGAACCTCTTGCTGCTGGCCACGCTCCTGGTACCTGCGCACCAGGCGACGGCCTGGAGCACCAAGTACGCAGTGGATTGTCCGGATCGCTGTGACAGCAGCCAGTGCAAAATCAGCCTGCGCTGTAAGAGGACGGTGCTGGACGACTGTGGCTGCTGCCGCGTGTGCGCTGCGGGGCTGGGAGAAACCTGCTACCGCACGGTCTCGGGCATGGACGGCGTGAAGTGTGGCCCCGGGCTGAGATGTCAGTTTTACAGTGAGGAGGATGATTTTGGTGACGAGTTTGGTATCTGCAAAGGTAAAGAGTAACCCCTTGCTTCCCTCCTGCCTAGGACGCTCTGAGGGCTTTTGTTCTGACTGGGAAGTGAGGAGCTCTCCTAGTAGAGGGAGCGGGGAGAGCAGGCCCTGAGGATAGGGCCCCACACAGGTGCTGTCATAGGGAGCCAGAGAAGGATGACTGCCAATAGCAGCCCAGGCCCGTGCGCATGTGGCAGGCACAGAGGGACAGGCAGCATTTTGCACATTATCTTTCTGAGAGCTGGAAAAAAAAAAAAGCTGCAAGGGAAGTTTGTGTTGCCTTGTTATCTGGAGCACTTGACAGGTGATCTGTTAGGGTTGTTTAGGTGCTCTCTCACGCAGGGCAGTGATTACAGAGGTCTGTGCTAGCTAGATAACCTCTGAGAGTGGTTTCTAGCACAGGGCTTTAGTGATGCTTTGATCTTGAAAGGGTCCAGGGGATGGGGGGTTCAGTCAAGATCAACTCTTTTTTGAAGAACACTAATGCACTTTGTAACATCGGGTGGGCTTAAGTCATCTAAATAAATGACTCACAGCTACTTGGAAGAAGGTACCGTGAAGTAGAAAACAAATCTCAGTCCATTTTAAAAAGATTTTTGCTCATCCAGAAAAATAGCAGCTGGTGTAAGACAAGCAAAAATAACAGTAAAAAAAAAAATTGGAAGTCTGTAAAGAATGAGGTTGGCAGTCGTTATGGACTTAAAAACTTCATTTGGTTGAAATTATAGCTAAACAATGTAGTTAAGCATTTGTAGAATTTATTTAAAGTGCAGTGATTATAGCTGAAGAGGTTTAACATTTAAAAAATTTTAACATTCAAAATAAAAAAATAGTGATTTAAAATACTCTAATTGGGTACCTCATGATCTGATCATATAAGACTGTTAACTAGGATGGAACAAACACACTATCACCTCATTCATCAGTTTCATAATAAAGGATGGGAAATTTCTAAACAGTTCTACTTTATGTATTTAATACAATGCTTTTAATGAAAAATACTCATCTAGCATTGAGTTTTTCTATTAGTTACCCAATCTGTTAGACACATAATTTATAAGTCAATCACCTTTTAGTCTACTAAAGGTTTAAGCCTACCAAAGGTTAGGAAATAAATGCTTGAACTATGGGAAAATTTTCTTTATGGTTTTGTTTATTTTTGTTATCATTAATAAAAGTCAGAACATCAAGGAAACATCTATTCTGAACATTAATTAACACACATTTCTTTCAACTAAGTAGGATCCCCCCCCCCCGTAAATAATGGGACTTATTAGTCAAGAAAACAGTACTAAGGAAATCAGGGAGGAAGTGGTTAACACAATATACTTATGATATAGCGAGTCTATGTAGTGGATTGCTTTTTTCCTTGGCATGAAAATTGCTTCTGTAATGTGATTCTACGTGTGCAATCACATATAGGCAAAGAAAAAGCTGAAAGGCATTTCTAATATCTACTAAATGAGGCTATAATGAGGTATATTTTTAAAATATTTAAGATTGCTCTCTTTGGCATTCTTTAGATTGCAAGTCAGTCGACTTTCAAAATATTTTTCTGCCTTCTGCAGACATGAGTCTGTGAACTTCAATAATTCTAGATAGAGATGCTACATTTTGCTACAGGAAAACTTTCTTCTCTAGCTTTTTTTAACAGAACACTCATATACTACATGAAGAATACTCATATACTGTATGCCTCAGCAGCATAGCCAGATATTTTCTAAATATTTAGATGTTGGCATTGTGTTGCCCAGATAACAATCAGCTAACCAATATGTATTTATTAAACACCCACTATCTTTGCCCAGCAATATCCAGTACATTGGGAATATAACAGAAGTATATCTGAGAGTTTGGCTTAAGTTTTAGGTTTCAATATCACCAAAAGCTTATCCCAATCCTGCAGGCTTTTCTGCAAGGGCTTTTTCAAGATCCCTGTTACGGATCTTGAAAGAATGTGACTATTCTTCTCCAGCAGAGACTAATGCTTCAAACCAGGCTCCTCTGCAAAATGAAGGAAACTGAAAAGAGTAATCTTAAATTTCCATTAAAGTATGTATATTTCGGCGTGGCAGACCTCTCCTGACCCACCCGCTGCTCCCTTCAGCAGTGAACTTAGTCAGTTCTGCCGGTTCTGCTCCCCACTCTATCTCTGGTGAATCCTTTCACTGCCCCTGCACCTCTGGCCTGTACCCCAGCTCTGTATGCATAAATAAATCTTTAAAAAATGTATATTTCATTAGTATCTATCTTGATCATTCTATCAAGTACTAGTTGTTAATGACATTTATATCTTTATATGTGAGTATTTATAGACTATTCTATACCAAGAGAGTAATTATTCTACAATTTATAATGCACTTGGCTCTTAAAGACAGGCTAATCTATTGCAGTACTGTTTACATCACAACTCCCATTCACTTTTAATAAAGGAGTCTGTCCTCTTTTTCTCAATGTAGGATGTTTTAGTCAGAGCATGAAAACATTGACTTCTAAAAGCTTCTAGATTTTGGCAGGTAAATAAATTCTCAACTTTGTTTATTAGCATACTACTTAACATTGCAGAGGGTTTTACTAGTGAATCCTCTCAGCATCTGGAGGAGTTAGGCAAATTGTACAGCCATTGTGACAGATAAGGAAGATGGTAAGAGTTGGAGCAGGTTGAAGGTTGATTGTTACATGGAGAGCTGGGGTGACACCTATCTTAGCCCCTACTCCTTTAGAGCACTTTCCATATATTTAATAGAGAATTGTCTGGAATACAATGGATTCAAAGGCAGCATCTCATCTTTTAAACCCCCAAGTTGCTGTTCAACTGTGAATCTTCACTGGGCTGTCCCAGAGGTAATCTAGGAGAATCTGTCTATTAGCAGCTAAGCAGAAAATAAATAGAACTAAAACTGCTTGAAGGATATTGATTATGTCTTCAAATAAATTTCATAGCAGCACGCTACAACTGAGGCATCCATAATCTGGTTTTAGTGTGCGATTTGACCTTCTGACTCATGTTTTGAATTTCGAAAGCCTGGGGTTTTTGAAAAGTGGGTTTTATCCTATATTCTAGGTTCGTGAGGTTTACTCCTTTGGGAGAGTGCGTGGGGCTGTGGGGGTGGAGGTTCACATACAGCAAGCTGTGCCCCCTCTAAACTTTCCTTTGGCCCTCAGACTGTCCCTACGGGACCTTCGGGATGGAATGCAAAGAGACCTGCAACTGTCAGTCAGGCATATGTGACAGGGTGACAGGCAGATGTCTGAAATTTCCCTTCTTCCAGTATCCAGTAACCAAGACTTCCAACAGATTTGTACCTCACACAGGTAAGAACTGACCCTGGCATAAACATAGGAACAATAGTCTCATCTTCAGCATGAATAACTTGAAAAAAATGTTGATGAACAGAAAAAGGTGTTGATTTGACTCATTATTTTACTCAGGGGGAAGGCAGATGTTGTTGAGCTAGGTTACTGTTGCTATTTTTAACAAAGAGCTCAATAACTTTGAGGATTATATAATTTCTCAGAGAGGTTACACAGTTATTATGGAGGATAAATATAACTGATTACCACAAAGGCTGTAATAAAAAATAACCAACAAATATACAAAAAGTTCTTTAAATTCTTCAGTGATTTTTTTATGCAGTTTTCTCCCCATTTCACATAGAAAAAGTACTCTAGATAAAGCTTAAGAACCAAGATAGAAACAATATATACGGCTTCTTTTATCATTTTTAAAAATCAAATGGAAGCATTTAAATGTAATAATTCCAAGCATGTGTTTTTATGACTTTTGGAGAGGGTAAGAGATAGTATAGATGCATGAAATTTAAGAATTCTCTCTAAAGCTTTGAATGAAAATTGGAGTACATGCTGTTTGTTAATGCCTGCCTTTCTTTTATAGGTTATAAAACGAGAAATGTAAGCTTATAAACTGGTGTTATGTACACATTTGGTTATCTTGTTAAATAAATATCTGGTGTAGGTTTCATTATATGGAAAGTAATTCATTTAAAATAACATGTAGCCACTGCTTATGTCAACACATGATATACTCTCCATCCCTCTTAGATATATAAACAGTTGACAATCCAGATTTTCCATTTAGTTTCTTTTTTTATGGTTCTTCGTACTTCAAATTAATTAAGATTTGAAATATTTGCCACATGTGCTTATTCCCAGTTATATCTCCTTTCACCTGGGTACAATTAAGTACATTATGATAAAGAACAAATACTGTGCATTTAAATGATATACTATTGTTGTGTGGTATCCCTTAAGCATTAATTTAAAATGGAGATCTTATTCTAAAAACCTATTAGGTGAATATCTTTGTGAATATTTGATATAAAAACTGACATTATTAATGTTTTAAATATTTCTTATTTATACCTATAGGAGAGTACAGTATAGTTTTAAGCTCTGAAAGTAATTTTTACTGAAATGCACATAGTAAAAAATTAAATATTTTAAAATGAACCTCTCAGTGGTATTTTGCACATTTAGAATACTGGCATAGCCACCAGCTCTGCCTACTCCAGGACATCTTCCTTAACCCCAAATAAAACCCCAATACCCATTAAACAGTTACCCCAGCTTGTGGCAAGTACCAGCCTGCTTCCTGAGACATAGAGTTTTTGAATGATTTGATTGGTTTTGTACAGGTTTGAAACCTATTGTCTCCTTTCAGCTGGCTGCCTCAAAGGCCGCTTCTTATGTCTTGCTTTGCTTTCCGAAAAACATTGGCTGAAGAGTAGTTAAAGGAATAATTTGCACATCCCTCTTTACTCCTTTAGTTGCATGTCAACCTTTCCCACTCAGAGAGAAGTGAGTCCCTTGTGACTGTTGGTATTTGAGATGGAATGTCCTGGAGCCCAGATGCTCCCTAGGATAATCTTCAAGGACAGGGGGCTTCTTGTTGCCCAGCCCACATCGCTCCTGCTGTGCTCTCAGCCGCACAGCACCTTCTCCTTGGATCTCTCTTTTGCTTTTGGATTCTGCAAGCATCTTGACTGCTATATAAATGCACTTAAAACAGCTGTTTTGCTGGGTGGAAGTTACAGTTTATCCAAAAAAAAAAAAAAATCCTATCCCAGTATTAGGTATCAAGGTTCTTATTATAAATTTATGGAAAAGACATTTTCTGACCTTAACCATTTTGTTGGCCTATGGTGAATTAAAAAATGCTTAATAGTATAATCTTGATAAATCTTGGTCAGGTTCAGGGTGGAGAGCAGAATATCCTAACCGCCTTGTGGAAGGACTCCCCAGAAGCCCCTATACAAGGCTTTCTGGGGTTCACGAGTCACAAGTTATAGGAAGGGAACTGGGGTCTTGGTTGCATCATGGGCATCACATGACCCCTGCACATCTGTCTGGGACTGACCTTAGCAGATCAAATGGTTTCGAGTTTATCAGCACAGGGACTTGTGGGGGTCCCGCCCACAGCCTGATTACATGAGGTATTCTCTTCTTCTGAACAGTTGGGCACTACACTCTTGGCATGTGGACTGCCTATCTCCATTTTCCACACCTTTGGTAGTGGTAGCTTTCTAGGACTGGGAATTTACAAGCAACTTTTTGGGAGAGGTAAGCTATGGAATAGTTCATTAACTTACATGCTTTTATCTGCCAGGCTATCCTAATGTCATAGCATTCCCTTTAGAAGGTGCACCACAGAAGCAAACATACCTCACTACTCTTAGAAAATTCTAAGCATTACAACTTTCCTCTTATTTAGAGCCAGAATACATTTATAAAACTCTGCTCTTGTTTTTCCTCCTGCCCTCTGGGGCCACACCAATAAGCTAATCACTTATGCTAGAGAGTATAAAATTCATGCTTAGCGATCTGGTACATTTGTTCATCGCGTAAGTATTTACCAAGTACTTAGGATGTTTTTAGCACTATTGTGACCATGAAGAAAACAGAGTCCCCGACTTCACAAAGCTGATATTCTAGTGGTGGAGTAATATGGGAAAAAGTGCAAAAGATAAATGTATATCTAAGATAATATCAGGTGAAAGGTTTATGAAGAGAATTAATTAAGACGATGCTATCTTAGATGGGAGATGGTCATGGATGAATCAGTGAATAGTACTAGCACAGTATCTTTGAATCTACCAAAGATTCACTGTAGATTTTACTAGCACAAAAACAAGGTACAATTGCACTTTATCTTTGGACTCTAAAAATCTGGACATGATTTCTGTTCCTTCTAATTTCAGAGCATGACATGGCATCTGGAGATGGCAACGCCGTGAGAGAAGAACACATGAAAGAGAAGACATCTCGTTCTCCTGTAACAAAATGGTTGACTCCTCGCTGATCCTGCATGGGATTTCCAAAAGAAGGCTCTGTTTTCATGATCATTCAATGCAGCCAGTATTTTAGGAACAGTCTAGATGATTGCATATGGACTTGTAATTTTTGGACACCAAGTATGAGTCAGGTACAGGAAAAAATAAAGGCTACTAACGATCCATAAAATTCCATATGACTCCACACTTTTAGAATCTTGTTTGTTAAATATTTGAATGCATATAAATTTGTTAAACATGTCTTAATAGCAATTTTGAGGAGATAAACATGAAATTTAGACAAATTAGACATGGAAGTAGGTCAATCAAAGAGGAAGCTAGCCAAAGTAATAAAGCACAGTGAGTCCATGGTTCTGGGCTCAGATGTACTTTAATGTTAGAAATACAGGATGGAGGAAAAGTTAGGAGCAAGTAAAGGTGGGATAGGTGTGGGGAGTGTAATATTTAGTTCTTCCTTGTGCTAGCTTCAAGAGAATTTAATTGTGTTTTATCTTTACTGTGTGAAAAGTCAAAACAAAACAATCCCCAAAGGAAGTGGGGTGTTTGAAGCTCATGGGAGTTTGAGTAGCAAACTTGAATGGGCAGGTTTGAAAGGGCTGCTAATGTAGTTCCCAGGTTACCTGTGATGGAAGGATAGTTCTGGGACAGGGGGCAAATATACACTTCCATACATGGTTTTAAAAACATTCCATTTCAAAGAGAATTGGTTAAGTATTTTGCCCACTTGGGGGAGGTGTGAAGCTAAATATTTATATATTTTTGTAAACAAATATGTTAGTACGAATCATCCTCCATACCCATATTTATCACCTTCAGAGACATGAGTATCGTGTTGTTTAAAATGTTAGAATAAAGTTGTAACTAAACCCAAGGCATAGTAAATTTATGACTAATAATAATAGTATTATCAACAGTAACGAGCGTTAGAGAAGCCTAGAAAAACTTAGTCACATGAATTTTAAAAATACCAATAAATAAACAATAGAGGGATTTACTAAAAGTAAGTACCATGACTTAGATGAACTTTAAATTTAAAGTATAAAATACTGTTTTAGGAAATTTGGAAAAGAAGAGTCAATTTTCAGAAGGAAATATCAACTTTAAAGTATATTCATTTTTCACATTTTTCCTTTTAACTTGGTTGCTAAGTGGGATTAAGATTATACTTGGGAGGATCTTAGCACAAATAGGACAGTTGTAGTAGTTTTTGTAGGAAGTATTTTATTTGGAATGAAGAATTATTTAAGAGCTATTTCACTATTTACCTATATTTTATTCTTGAAGTTGCCAGCAGAGTTGTGAATCTGTATGTGGGAGGATCTTTGAATGTAAGCTAAATAAGCTGAAAGGACAAGTTTATTATTGTTCAATAAAAAAACAAAAAACAAACCCAGTTGCTCTGAGTCTATTTCTGACTTAAAAGGTATTAAATCAATTCTTTTAATGAATAAGAACTTTTATGCATATTAAAGGATATGTTCCTCAAATTAATTTTCTGCTACCAGTAAGTATCTTCTGTTAAACCAGGAAGGCAGGATATTTATTTCTTTGGCTCACATTTTTTGCCTACTGTGCCTTAGGATTTCCTAACTGTATCGCCCTGCTCTACAGGCATAACAAGTTCAATACTGGTCACTGTCATCAGAATGTAGCTGTAGGCCTAAATTTGAAATTGCATCTTAACTTTCACATAGCATCAAGATACTAAACATTGAACATATTTTATTCTTTTGTTAGTTTTCTGTTCTTCTGAACTCCTTAGGAATAAAGGGTCCACTGACAGGATTCAACACTACATAGATATTTAGAGGGAGATTGATGATCACTTTTTACCTGCTGGTAAACACTAGTCATTAAATTAAGGCCAGACTTTATAAAGTGGTGTATACTACGGAGTGGTTTTCAAACTTTAGTATGCATTATTGGCCTTGCTATAACACAAATTATTGATTCAGTATATCTGAGGTGAGGCCCAAGGATTTTCTGTCTTAGCAAGCTCCCAGGTAATATAAATATTGCTGGTCCACAGACCACACTTTGAGAATCAGGATGTAGGGCAATCTAGACTTTCCTGGAAGGGAGATAAAACCAATCGTTGACCTTCTAAAGGAATGTATTGCAGCATTTCTTAGCCAGTTGGTTCATTTAATTTTTTATTTGAAGATATTTAACTGAGACGGCTGAAATGTCAGAGAAAGTTTAAGCTAAAGTATGGGGACATGTCAGGACAAGTAGAAAACCATTAAAAGGATGGAGATGGGAGAACCAAAGACTTAGAGGTAATCAAGGAGCCTCTGGTTTCATAGAGTGACTCTCAAGAAGGGTAACCAGGATTTCAACACTCTACCTTGAGAGCAGTCATTTAAAAAAAAGTGATGCCTTTACCAGGTTTCCCTAAAATATTCACCCTAGTGTCCACAGAAACATTTTTTTGCTTTTAAAAGTATTGCCAGCTTACTGATCTATAGCACATTTAAGTTAAGTAACAATGATAACTGTCACAACAGGTTTGGGAACAAATGCGACAGAGACTTGGTATTTTTGAATTTCACCTGGTGGAAATGCAAGGGTGGCGGCTCCACAAACTGCATTGTACCTCACAATATCAGGAGTCAAATGTCATTGGGGAAATGGAGATGCATACTGATATCAGTGGGGTGATTGATGGCTGTTGATAAAGAACATTTGACTGTATAGCAAGTAGAAAAAAATGTTACACGGCCACTCAATCTAATTTCTGTGAAAATTATATACATGCATACAAATCAAGACACTAACAGTGATGTGATCTAATCTTTATATTTTTGTTTTCTAAAAGTTTAGTAGTTAATTTCATAAGGGGGGAAATGTTCTCCATTTTTTAAATTGTAGCAAATTAAGCAGATGAAATCAAATTAGTGATTTATTCCATAAATGGTGACTTTGCGTGATGTTTTATTTTGGTCCTTTGTAGATGTACTTTTTCATTTGGCATTTTATTAAATGGGGACATACAACTTCAAACAAGTAAATAAAGAGAACTGGAGTCGTCTTGTAAATACTAGAAAGGCTGCAAAGCACATGACAATAACTTGCGCTTATCTTTTGGAACAAACCTTTGGTCTCATTGAAGCAAAATGAGTGAATCCTTAGAAAGCATAGCCAAAGGTCTCTGGATCATAAGTTCACATTTTAGATTACAATATACCTTCCGCACCTATGCACAGAACTGCTATCTGCTGAAGCAGTGATCTGGGCCACCAGGGTTTTTAAAGTATTTCCTGACACCTGTGAAGTTGGTAAATATTTCCTGTTTTTGTTGTGTCTAGAGAAAACAGGAATTCACAACTTGGAAGTGAGTATTAAACAAACATTGGGAATGACCTCTATATGGGCTGTTCCCAGGATGAGTTTTCATTTCTTAAAATCCGTTATATTTCTCTTAAGGGAAAAAAGTAATGCATAATAATTTGAGAGTTGGTTGAATGGTGGAAAAGAAACCTCATACATTGGAGAAATGGCACCTATATTCGTCATGGTCTATAAACAACACACTTGGAGAATTTAAATATCACTTTAATAGAAAGTCTTCAAAAGGAAGCAAAACCGAGAAGGTGAATAATGGATTTCCTGTTGGTGGTTCTGTGATCACTGTACATTGTTGGCTTACCTAAAAAATGTTTTTGATCATCTTAAGTACTATGGAAGGATCCTAGAGTTTCTGAGTAAGCTCAAACAAGGATCAACTCACTGAGAGACACTCACTGGCTATAGACTTTCGACTTCCCCTGTATTATTTAACAAATCTCCCTCCTCCCCCCCCCCGCGGGGAGGGGGGAGAGGGGGGGTCCACTGTGTCAAGTGTGGGTGTTGGCAGTGCTCACAGGTAAGTCAATGCCACTTGGTCTTGATGCCTCATCTGACATACATTAAATTTTCCAATAGGTGGCAGGTGACTGTTAGTGTAGAAGCCTGTCCCATTTTGGGGGCCTTTCAAGTGTTCATTCATTGCAGCAAGACTGACATGTTTAAAATATTTAAAAAAAAATTGAGAAGTATTTCAAAGCATATTTATATACTTTTGAAAAGTTGAGTAAAGAGGTTGAAGAAAATTGACTAACTTCTAAAAGGTACATCACAGTGAGTGAAATTTAATTAATATAGTTTGAAACTCTCACAATTCTACAAAAGAAGTAACTATTTTTAAAGAACAAATAACAGAGTTCTATTTAAATCTCCAAACAATTATTAGCATGCTCCTGAAAAAAAAAAAAAAAAGGTACAATGCTTCAGGAGAATGCAAGCCCTACAGATGTGGTATACTTCCCTGCCTGTTATTTTTAGTTTTCTATTCCTGCCTTTTATTTTGGGACTTGGCCTGCTTCCTTTGTAGTTTCCCCTTAACTTGTTCATACCTTTCTTTCTTATAGAATGCATTTTAAGCTGCCTTTTCATTTCACCTCTCAAAGGAAACTCAAGGAATGTTGGCTAGTTCAGGAACTCCTGCTAGGCTTGGCACGGCAGAGTTCTTGGTTTGGAAACAAATCAGGAAATCCAGGATCATGGCTGACTTTCTAGTTATTTAATGAATCAGAGCAGCAGAGGGGTCTGAGACCAGCGCTTAGCAGATTCTGAATACCTTTTGCATGAAATTGTTTCATGGCTTGTACAAATTGGAGAACTTTGAAAATGGACTCTGTTTTATACTTCGATAAAAGCAAAATCCAGTCGAAAAAGTGAGGAGAGAGTCTAGTTAATCTAGTTTAGGACTGTGGTACCTTTATCTACCAGCAGATAAGCTGACTGCTTGGAGGAGCATTTGTTCTGCCCAGGACTCTGCGAGATGAAAGGTTCTAGCCTCTCTTTAAAGAGCCCTGTGGAGCAGTTGTGGAGATGGGATAAACACAACTGAAACACGGAGGTCACAATTTATTAAGTGTCTTTGTCTGCTGTCTTGGTTGCAAGTGAAGCAAAACAAAACCAAAGGAAAACACTGATTTAGGCCATTTTGGGCTCTCACCAAATGGGGAAAAATGACCTGCTAAATCACCTGGCTTGGAGGATTCAGAGTAGCCTGGAGGTGCAGGCTGTGGGAGCTGATAGACATTCTCACTGGAGCACTGCTGCCTGCTGGGACTGAGAGCTGCCACCCTCTATATCAGCTCTGCCCCACTCTCTTGAAACTCTTTTTCTTGAGGGTATTGCCCTTAGATCTTGGGGCTGTTGTAGTGAATAGTTCAGTTGTGACAAATATACTTCCATTGTAGGTGGATTTCATTTCGAATTTAGCCAAAGGCATCCAGAGCCCAAGTTTAGCCAGTGGGAATTCTTTTGACCGACTTGAGCAATACTATTTTGTGAAATCCAAGCTGGGTAAGATAACAAGGGAAGTGGGATTTGCTGGAAGGCGTGCCTTGGGGAGCCAAGAAACTAAGCCTGTGCTCTTGGGGAATTTGGAAGTAGGGTACCACCCTGATTATTTGCATTACTGGTGCTTTTGGGAGAAACACCAGATATGTTACTCAGGTGTTTTTGTGTGTTGATTGGTCACTCTTGATAAATGGAGCAGAGGCACAGCCGGGTTCAGATGGGATCAGGATGGGGGAAAGGGGTGCTGTCTCCATGGTGAGAAGTCACCCTTTGGCTACTTCCTCTCCCAGTCCCCTCACCTGACCACTGGTTTCTTTCTAATTTTCTTATTATGACTTTATCTGGTGTCAAAGAAAAAAAATTATTATTCACAAAGATTTAAGACAAAACTGTCTTTTAAAAAAATGTTATTTACCACCAGTGATCTGTTCTTTATCTTGAAGCTTATTTTTAAAAATCTCCCTCCATTCAATTCTACCTAAATGACTGCAACTTATGCTCAAACAGGAGAAAATATATAATATCTACACACATTAAGAAAGAGAATGATAAAATGTTAACTTTTGGGAAATCTGGATGATGGTTACATGGGAATATTTTCCCTATGAAAAAATTTTCTGAAAGTTAGAAATTAGGTCAAATGTGAAAAAGTTGATTTGTATTATGATCATCTCTTCTATGCTGCTTCCTTTACAGTCTTTTCTCATTATCTTGCAAAACCAGGTTAACATAGCACCTATTAGAAAACTGGAAAAACTGCCATTTCTTAGGAAATGTGCTGAGGATGGCAACCAGCTCCTTCTTGGGGCCTGAAAATCACTGCTCCTTCATTTCCAATTCTGCTTGGGGTCCATGATGCCCAGAGGAGGAGGAAAGGCCAACACATGCATCATCAAGGGAACAGACACCTGAGTTTTACAGGTGGAAGGACAGCAGGGACAGCAGGGCCAAGCTAAGAATGGCTTTGACACCTGCGAGCAGGGACAGGCAATGATTAGAGGGAGGTGAAG